ATGATCTGGGTTCGAGTCCCCACTCAGCCATGGAGCCCACTGGGTGACTTTGGGCCAGTCACAGACTCTCAGCCCAACCCACCTCACAGGGTTGTTGTTGTGGGGATAAGATGGAGGAGGAGATGTAAGCTGCCTTGAGCCCTTTGCAGGAGAAAGGCAGGATATAAATCGAAAACTAACTAACTAAATCCGGTCTAAAAACCAGTAGGTCCCAGTAACTTATTAAATGTCCTGCAGTAGTGAACAGTCTTTACTTGGCACTGGAAAGATAGTGAAGTTGGTGCCAGGCAGGCCTCAGTGAGGAGCTTATTCTGTTGCTGGGCGGCCACCACTGAAGACCCTAAGGGTGGCACTTTGCAGTCTCTGAGTCAATTCAAACACTTTAGCTTGTTGCAGCAGGGGCAGGGGAAAGAACACAGTAAAATTATTAGCCTGGATTAGGCTAATAATCCAGAGCCAGTGTGGTGTGGTGGTGAAGAGCATGGGACTGGGACTCAGGCGACCTGGGTTTTAGTCCCCGCTCAGCCATGGAGCCAACTGGGTGACTTTGGGCCAGTCACAGGCTCTCAGCCCAACCTACCTCACAGGGTTGTTGTTGTGGGGATAAGATGGAGGAGGAGAATGATGTAAGCTGCCTTGAGCCCTTTATAGGAAACAGGCAGGGTATACATCGAAAAATAAATGAATAAATAAATAAAAGGATTAGTATCTTGAGTTAGACACACAAAAACAAATGGGAAATTGAAGAAGTCATGAACAGTATAAGCTGCTATCATACATCTTCTGACATTGTCTTCACTGTTTTAGATGTGTTACCTAGCACAGAGGTAGAGAGAAGGTAGATCTAGTTCTCCTGATAAATCACTAGGACTAGGTGATCTGCTGTAGACTGGCAAGGATTTTGACACCCCTGCTCATTCACAGCAGGAAGAACAACATGACCCTCCCTCCTTCCTCACTCCAGCTTACAGAAATGAAGAAAGCTTGTGGTAACCTGGAGTTGGTTTTTGTGCAGAAGGGACGTGGCCCTCATCCTGCCCTGGTTCACAGGACAAATCCCTGGGCTTAGAATTCTGTGGATGTCCTTTGGACAAGGCTCTGCATGACGGATCTTGGAGGTCTAGTCAAAGTCATTCTGGCAAGTTCGATGTCTGCCTGCCCCAGTCTGCTTATGTAAAGGTTCACACAGCAGGTGGCCATGGATGACAAGGTAAAAAGACAAGCAAAACAGCAGCCCATTTAATGCAAGACCTTTAAAAACCAGAAAAACAAGCACCATCTTGGTTCCATCTTCAGCCTGCCAGAAGCTTTCCTGTAAAAGGAAATGCTGGCTAACCTTTTAGAGAGAGCTGGTGGCGTCTGCTTGTGCCTCATTGGCCAGGAGTTCCAGGATGAGGGGCTACTTCTGAGGGAGGGGAGACCGACTGCCCTTGCAGAGCTGGTACACAAAGCAGGTTCTCCCCCTGAGTTATGCACACATGAGGGGGGAATACTGAAGGGGGAGCGGAACATTTGGTGGGGCTTACGAGATCGAAAGCTCTAGAGTAGTAAAGGCTAGAACAGGCCTGTTGAACTAGGCCAAATCCAGCCCCTCTTCGGTCCCGGTAGACCTGTCAAGGATCCCTAGATGGCCCACCCCATTCCCTTTTCCTAACTGCCAGTCATTTTGGGATTTCCCAGCTTTTGTATGTTTTGCGTTCTGAAAAGGTTGAAATATCTCTCTTACGGCTCTTACTGGACTTGAGAGCTTTCAGCAGCAATATGCTGGCGTTCTTGACTTGCCCCTTTGTTCCACTTGAGATTCTCTGAAACCGCATTTGGTCCTCTGTGTGGAAGGGGCTCTGTGCCCCAGTGTGGAGCTGCTGGAACTAAAGCTATTAAAATTTCTTCAGGTCAGAGCATGGCCTCCAGAATGTAAAACCAGGAAGCCAGTGGTGCTGGCTTGCCAAGTTCTAGCCCTGGGCTAGAGTAAGCGGCAAGGGGCATCGGGGCAGCAGTGGCCGAGGCTTCCGTCATGGGCTGTCCGAGTGCATAGCAGGCGGGAGAAGAATGCCAAGGGCGTGTAATCCAAGCAGCAAACCAGCATGGAATTTTAGGGATGGAATCCCAGTAAAGTAGATCATCCTGTTCATACTTCAAAGACGCTGCAAGTCCAGAACAGGATAGGAAGCAGCATCAGTGCTGCAGCCGGCCTGCCGCATCCGGGATTTCGCAATGCTTTGGAATCTTACCTTTAATCCTAAAGAGCCTGGACATAGCAGAATAAGAAATAGCGCTGGATGTTTAGACGCTCCCTTCTGTATTAGGGAGCAGAAGAGGAACCTGTAAAAAAAGAGGTGTTTATTTAGACACCCTCCATGTTGTGCTGAGAGGTGGGCTATCTCTACCTCTGGCAAACGCGACTGCTGTTAATCTGTTAAACATTCAACACTATAGAAAAAGAAGTGCTGCAAGAGTAAATAATTTAGGCCTCCAAATAATCAAGATCTCACTTCCTAATTTTCCCCGTGACTCAGGCTTTGATGAACCCATTGAACATGTGGGTAAGTCAGGAATTCAACATTTTCAAGGGTACTTACAGTGCCTAGTTAAGTCTGAGAGCCCTTGTCTAATTTTCTCTTTCAGAACACCATGTTTCAATGTGAGGGTGTTCTCCTTTCAGGAGCCAACTGTGTTAGCAAACTTCATCCATACATTCGCTTGAGGCTTCGTGCTTCGTGGTCAGACATACCTTATTGTGGGCATTCTCTTACTACAGCGTATCACCGTGGTGATGCCGAGGAGTTGCAGTCAAGTGGTTAATGTTCTTCAAATTATGGGATAATTATGGGACTTCTCGCCCATGTAGGCAATCAAAGGATTTAGAGAATAAACCATAATCATCCTGGGAAACATGTTCCATTGCTGCTTAATGACATCCTCCTGATGTTCTATCCTTTAATGCAGGGGGTGGGAAAGTACAGCTTAGTTTGGGCTTCACTACATGAGGCCTTTAACTCAGTTTTACTGAGGCTTCTGCTTTCTTTTCTGGAGGAGGAGTATGTCCTTTACTTAGGTGTTTTCCTCCAGGGTTTGACTTTCTCTGCCTTTCTATATATTCCACTGCCCAAACAGAAAGTTGCACTATGACGTAGCGGCAATATAGCAGAACTAAGGCAATGCTCGAGGCTTTAATTCCTGTTTGCTTTGCATTTGAAATAGAATAGCCATGTTTTCTTGCTCTAGAAAAAGCTGTAAAAATGGCTGCAAAACACAGGAGGGTCTTGGAAACAACAGGTTTAGTACCTGGATATCTGAAGGAGCATCTCCTTCCCTATGTGCCTGCCTGCCCCTTAAGATCTGGGTCAGAGGTCCTTCTTCGGGAGCCCTCTTTGAAGGAGATTAGGAGAGCGGCTACCTGGAGAAGGGCCTTCTCTGTGGTGGCACTCTGGTTATGGAATATGCTCCTCAGAGAGGTGTGCCTGGTGCTGACACTTTATTCTTTTCGGTGCCAGGCCAAAACCTTTTTATTTCCCCAGTATTTTAACGTTTAATAGATATTTTAATTGTGATGCTGTGCTTTTAATTATTTTTATTTTTTATTTTATGGCTGTCCTGAGACTTTTTGTAATTGGATGGGATAGAAAGGCTTTAAATAAATAACAGAATAAATGTAACAGACCCACAAACTTTCATGAATGAAGGATCACATGTGCAGAATATATGCCGCATGTGGAGAAGCCCTCTTCTGCTGACCTGCCATCAGAGGAACTCTTGCACTTTCTGTCTGTCTAAACTACACTGCAGTCCCTGCATCACCGCAAGAAGGATGTCGGGGAGCGGGGTGCCACCCAGAATGCGACACGTGCTTCATATAAATGCACAGTGTTCCCCCGCCGCAAGAAAGTACTGATTGATCCATACTGGATGCTCTCCAGGTACACATGGGAGGAGAAATTCTTCAGCTAATCAGGTAGGGTCCTTCTTCAGGTCTCGAGACATTTAAGGCTTTACAAGCTAATAGCAGGTCTTTGAATTGAACGCTGACTAGAAGCCATTACAGTTCACGAAGTATTTGCACAAAATGATCAGCTCTTACTTGTTAACACATTTCCTGCTGTATTTTCAGCCAGTTGAACTTCCCAGACCGTCTCCAGCTAGGCTGTCTCTGGTCAGGTAGTCTTAGTTGGCAATGGTAAAAGGCTGATACATGGTGGTCATATCACCATGGTCACACATGCCTCCAGGGACAGTTGTGGGTCCAAGAACACTCTCAAATATGAACCTTTAAGGGGAAGTGCAACCCTTTTCTGAGCAGGTAGAACACCACCCCATCTGGCAGATAAACCTACCCTAACAGTACCTCTGTTTTGTCTGGATTGAGCCTCAGCTGACTCAGTCCAGTCCACGACCACACTTAGGTTCCGATTCAAAACATCGACTGCCTCACCCAAGTTTAATGAAAAGGAGAGAGAAAGTTGGGTATTTATTTATTTATTTATTTATTTATTTATTTATTTATTTAGGAAACTTCTATGCCACCCCATTCACTGAAGCCTCGGGGTGGCTCACAAACATAAATAAATAACATCCTATAAAACAATATAATTTAACAGTATAAATTAAGTCGCCCTGGCCAAAGAGTAAAATAAATAAATAATATTAACAATTAAAATAATGTTTGAATAAAAAGGTATCATCTGTATATCGGTGGCACCTCAGCCTGTATCTCCAGATAGCCTCCTCCATGGCTTCATGAAGACACTGAACTGCCTGGGGAATAAAATAGCGGTCTGTGGACCACCACCAAGGCACCACCTCCTGGAATGAGTGGAACCACTGCAACTCATTATTTCCAGCACCTAGCCCAGCCGGCCTGTCCAGAAGGATACCATGGGCATTGCTTTTAAAAGCCATTAAGAGGTCCAAGAGAATCAGCAGGCAGTGCTTCCTGTCTCTCTTCCAGCAAAGGTCATCCCAGAGGACAATCAAGGCAGTTTCTGTCCCAAAGGTAAGTCTGAGCCCCGAATGAAACAGATCCAGGTATCAGTTTAACTCAAAAGTCCCTGGGGCTGACCAGCAACTGCTCAGGCATGTTGCCCAGAAAGGGCATGTTGGGCCCTGATCTGTAGCACCTGTAGCTCCCCATCTCCTGAAAATGTTGCCTCCATTTGGGGGGAGCCTGGTTCACCACTCCTTTCAGATTGGTGAATCATCTTCACATTCAGATTGTTATTAATAATAAATATTATTATTTGTTAATATTATAATAGTATTATAACCTGTAACCTCTGTTAACAAGTGGAACAGAATGTTGGACGGGAACGCTAACCTGCTCTCTTCTGGTGTCTGTGCACATGTATGCAAGCCTTGCATTGAACCTGACGTTGCTTTCTCCTCCGCTTCGGCTGGCCCCCTTTATGCTGCTCATTAGATTTCAGGAAACGTGCGCACATGGGTTGTGGGTCAGAACATTCTGTTTGCTTTGTGCTGCAATTTCAGCTGATGCCATTTGATCAAATTCACTCTCACAGTGGTAATAGAGAAAAGATAAGGTGTTTTAAGGACCATGCTTGTGGCTTCTTTTAATAGATTGAGAAATTCTAACGTATTGGTTGCCTTGAGAGAAAACCCTTGCCTGTGTTCTGCAAACTCTCATTACTGAGAGGATTGCATTCTTCAGCTAGGTTTTTTAAAGTGAAGACAGAATGGAAGAAGATAAATTGCAGTACAGTGTCTCGTGTCCACTAGGTGGCGCTCTGCTGCCCCACACCCCATTTTCGAATCTGTATAGTAAAGGGTTTCTCATGCTAGGAGGGCGTTCCACACTTATAAGTCTAAGTAGCCTGTCATTCTGCTTTCAAATGCGCATAGACTTTATGAATGGTAAATTCCTCTAATGAAGGGATGCAAACTGAGGGGCTCCACCCGTTGGGACCAAAGCTTTTCAACTTATACATGAATTAACCTCTGAGCAGGAGTGAGCACTGGTATGGCCAGGTTTGCTGATGGTACCAATTGAATTGGGGGGTTAAAACAAGAAGAGGCTGTGAGGTGCTCCAGAAGGATCTGGATTATGATCTTGTGGTTGTTGGCCGGCAACTTGATGAAAATGTTGACCCATTATATGACTGCTGGGAAAAAGGCAAACTCCGTGTTAGGTATAGTTAGGAAAGGAATTGAAAATAAAGCTTCCAAAGCCATATGGCACTTATAAACATTCAGTTAGAATACTGTGGACAGTTCTGGTCACTGCAACTAAAAACGATATTGCAGAATTGGAAAAAGGGCAGCTAAAATAATCAAGGGGTTGGAGTGAGCAAGTTGGGCTTGTTTAGCTTAAAAAAGGCAAGGAGAGATGATAGAGAAATACAAAATTATACACAGTGCTGAGAAGTTGAACAGAGAGACATTTTCTTCCCTCTCAGAGTACTAGACCCAAATGGAGTCATCCCATGAAGCTGATTGATGGGAGATTCCTGACATATCAATGGAACATGGTGCATAATTTAATATGGGGTTCGCTTCCATGAGATGTGGTGATGGCCACCTCTCTGGACAGTGTTAAAAGGGAATCAGACAAATCCATGGAGGAGAGGGCTATCCATGACTATACATAGTGGGAATGTATACTCTTTTTCATTTCTCTTGTTAGCTCCATCACCATTTTTTCCCTTGTATTCTGTACATTCCCACATGTACAATCCCCACTAATTATGAATGGCAAAGTGATTGGGTTCTCTGTATGAAGCCAGGCAGCCAATCAGATTTGTCTACATACTGATGTCACTGAAGGCAAATTAAGCCTTTTCAGAGAGAATGCTTGTCCAATTGGAATGCATCAGTTAGTAATGACTGATTAAACTCCCATTCATTTCAATGAGTCTGCTGTACATAGGACTAAAGTTGGATACTAACCCCACCCCATCCCAAATGTACCCTGTTTCACAGGGTACTATGCAGCCCTGATGGAGAATTATTTCCTGAATGGCAGTTGACCTTAGATATTCTCCCACCCTCATCCTTTGTCATTTGAACAAAGCATCTCCCTGAATAGGCATCCACAGATCCGCCAGTACCTGGGGCTACCAGGGTGCCCAGCAGCCCCGACTCCCTTTGTTAAACACTTGTTGTGCTCTCTGGTTTGGACTAGGAAAGAAACACTCGGAGCCTTCCTAATATCTCTTTCCAGGCACAAATGAGAGAAATCCTAGCACCTCCCTCTAGCCTTTGGAGTGTGTGGGAGCCAGAGAGGCAGGGCCTTATCTTTCTTGTGCTGTGGCTTAGATAAGATAAGAAACATCAGGTGTCTTTCCATTTCTTACCTTCTCAATAGCCCAGCTCAAATGGCAGAAATCTTGCTGTTTCTCCCACAATCTTGCCCTCTGTAAAAGCCAGAAGACTCTGGAGTGGGGAGGGGGTTGGTGGTATGCAAAAATATTTATTCTATTTATGGAGCACCACCTGGAACTCTCCCAAAACTGAACAGCAGAGGATGGCTAGTAAGCCAAACCGCTCTGTGTGGGCCCCCGTCCCTGACCCAGTGAGCGAAAAGCCAGTCTGTGTTTTTTCCTGCTCTGAGAGGAACATGGGACTCTGGAGTAAGCTCATTCCAAGTACCTGGGGACAAAGCATCATCCAGACAGTTGGACTTTCTAACCGTGCTGGGATTTGAACCTGAAACTTCTCATTGTAAGACTTCAATTTCAAGTAAATTTTCTTGGAAGCAGGTCCTGCTGATTTCAGTGGAACGTATTTTCCAAGTGTTTGTGTTATTAAGATTTAGCCAAGTGCTCTGCTTACTGCACCAATCCTGGCACCAGCGCTTGGAGGATTCATGTAGAAGCAACTTTGGCTAGAAAGTTAAAGCTAAATTAGATTAAATGAAAATCCTCTTGATGGAAGGGGAAGAGGGAGGAGCAGCAGAGCAACAGCTGGAGCAGTGGATTCAGCTGACAAGCCAAGGGGAGACTGCCGTGAGCTGCACAGCGTTAAAAGTTGGCACAGCCGAAGAAGTGATTCATTGTCACTTAACAGTTTTGCTTCAAGAAACTCATCATTTTCGCCCACCAGGGGGAAGTTTAATTGGCACGCTGTGGCTCTCCAGTTTGGAGAAGTGTCCTTCATCTCTCCTCTAAATCCTGGAGCTTCCTCTTTCCTCTTCTCTTTACCCAAATCTCGGCATGTCCCTCATTACTCATATTGTTGTTGATGTTGCCCTCCGTTTTGCTGCTCCGGTTCTTTCGTAGGGTCTCTGAATCAAGCCCGTTATTCTCATTATAGCTTTTGCTGAGGAAAGGAAGGCTATTCTATTCCTTACTGTGAGTAATAGGAGAATGGAGTTGGAAGGAACCCAGTTGTCATCTAGTCCAACTTTCTGCTCTTCTTGGACAGGATATCCTCTACCTAAATCATTGCTGCTGTCTGTCCTGTCCAGTCTCTCCCCACCTGCTCCCCAAGGAGGTAGATTTCCCCGTTTGTTTGAGCTCTGGGTCGCACTGCACGCTCATCCGCTTGTATGGCTCGCAAGTGTGTGGGGGTGCACGATCTGCAACCTTAAATCTGCTCTTCCTTTATTTCAAGCTTTTCCATATTCATCTGGAATGTGTTGCGGGATAGTTCGCCCTCAGGACCGTGGGTGAAGATTGAGCATTCCTCTTGCGTGTTCCTTCCTCCTTCTCCTGCCAGGCTCAGGGTTGCTCCTCTGACTAGGTAAGGGACTCACTAGTTCGTTTGTGCACATCTCCCCACAGTGAGGGGGCAGTGGAGGACCACAAGAGGAGCCCAGGAAAGAGGCTGAAACCACTCCCAGGTTCTTCGTAGGTACAGTGCTTAGGTCCAGACAAACCCCGTTGACCTTGGTGGAGGTGGAGAAACATAAGCTTTCTCTGGAAGGGCAGTTCTCCTTTTCTAGATTGGAGAAGCACCCTGCTGCAGGGGCTGCTGGTAGGAAAGTCTCTGCCTGAGCCAGGATCAAGGGAGAGCATGGCTGGGCACCTGCCAGACGCCTGTATCCCAGCAGGGACCCCTTGGCTAGAACCCCTGGAATTGCTCCTCTTCATCACCCTTGCAGGCTGCTTGTTCGCCTGCTTCTTGCAGCAGCCCAGACACTGCTGGTGGTGAGGAGGAAGAGGAGGAGGAGATGCCGACTTGCTGCTGGCTCCCTGCCTGTCAACCAGCCAGGTGGTAGCAATGATGTGAAGGAGAGGAGGGGCAAGCGCAGCTGGTAACCATGTTGGTGCTTCAGGCACACAGAGGGCTCAAATGTGATGTTAGCTTGGAGCTGAGTTGCAGATCAGCAGCTGGTCAGCCCAGCCCTTTCCATGCAAGAGCTCAAGGGCCGACGGCATCGGATGCACAAAGTATGGGCTGTTGGAGCTGAAAGCCCACTCAGTATTCACCAGCCAGTTCTTTCCATTGCTAGCTAGAGAAGGTGGTCTAAAGGTAGCCTTAAGCAGGTAGCCTTAATTCATGTCCTGCAGTGAGCGGAGTGAACATTCTACAGCCTGGATAAATTGTTCAACTCACATTTGCATGAATATCCATTATTTTGCATAATTTAGTTTGCTTCTGCTACGGCATGATACCATGGTCAATTATATCAAAAGCCACAGAGAAGTCCAGCAAACTTAGCAGGGAAGACTCTTTCCAGCTCTCCAATTAAAGCATCCACCAAGGCAACTGAAGCTCGCTTTGTCTCAAAATTGAGACAGAAACTGGACTGAAGCAGGTTCTGATTATCCACCTCCCCAGGAACACCCGGAGTGCAGATGTCGCCACCCTATTCAAGCAGTTGCCCGTGAAGGGCATGTTGGAGACTGGCTGGACATAATCTGGTGTGGTGGGGTTTCAACAGAGATCTCACTCCCACCTCTTCACGGGGTCACTGACATACCCCTTCATTGCTGGCTTTTCTCACTCGACCAGCTTTGATCTCCCCAGCAGGTTTTATAAGCTAGGAAGGGCACATAATCGGACCATGTGCAGTCCTGGAGGTTGTGTTACTGCTGCTCCAGAATGTGCTGGTACTGAAGCTTTGTTGAGCCTGATCAGCCGACCCATTTGGCAGCTAAGCGCATGTGAAGGCCACCATCATCCTAAAAACCTTTAAAAATCTCAACAGGGATGGAAATCACTTCTGTATGACTCAAAAGACCGGAGTAATGTCTCCCTGCCCCCCTCCACTGCCTCTTCCTCCTTTGCTGGCAGTTCTGGAGACAGACAAAGACTGTTTCACCTCCATGTGGTGTGCGTGAGGCTCATTTTTGACCTTGACCTGAAGCCGGTCCATCTGCTGAAAAGCTGGGAAGCCTGTGAAAAGCAATATAAGTGATGGCAGCAATATTATTACTGTTATTTCGGTTTCTGGGTCCCCCTGTGGCCAAAATCCCCATGGTGAAGTACACAGTAAAAACAATCTTAATAAAACCAGGGATGAAACCAATAATAAAATACATTATCATGTATTGTTTTAAAAGCAGCCAGAGAAATTCAGCATTTAAGAGAAATAAATGAGCAGCCAAATGCAGGGACTATGATTTTAAAATGCAGCACTAAATGTATTTAAAATAATGCAAACAGCAGTTAAACATACTTTTAAGAGGCCTGGGAGAATAAAAAGATTTTTGCCTGGGGGCAGACATCAATACACACCTAAGGGTGTTCCACAATTTGGGGATTAATGATGAGGAGCTGGATCTTGGGGGAGGGGGATTGGACACTGAGAGTAGGGCATCAGATGATGATCTCTGTACATGGGCAGGAGCATACAGGAAGAGACTTTCCTTTAGAAGGTGGTATCTGAAGTAGTTTTAATTCTGTATCAACTCTGATACTTTCTGCCCACGGTCTACTGTTTTATCAGTGTATTCTTCTATTAGATCGTTGTTTTTAGTTCTTTTTAAAATCTGGAATGTCCTCAGTTTCTTTTGGACTGAAGCACAGGATGTAAGAAATAAACAAAAAACATGAATAAAAATATATAGAAAATACAGGAGCAGTTGCTGTGAGATCTGTTTTTGCAATAGCGTTCAGTTATCTAGCAGTTCAGTTTTAGGCAGGTTTAACCAACTTGGATTGTAAAAAGCTCTGATGTGATTGAGTGGCTCGAAGTTTCCAAAGTTTATAAAGATAATGCACAGAACAGCTGAGCAAGGTGCATCAAAGCCAAGCCATTTGGATATCAGCTCAGTTGTTTTGCAGAGGGATCAGGGCTGAACATTGAAGCAGTGGCTTTAGACAGTTTGCCTTTGGGAAATTCCAGTAATATTAAAGCAACTGCAACATATAACTTCCTGTAACACAGGCAAAACTGCACGGAGGAAAGGCAGATGAAGAATTGGGTCTTGTTTGGCATGTGCAGGTAAGGTGATCTGACAGTGCAAGCTAAGTGGATTCTGCCATTTAGTTTCCTGCAAAATGCTGATCATTTTTATTGATAACTGAAGAAATCAGCCCTGCACACATCTCAGATCCACACCTACTGCACTACCGCATGTTACTCTTCATTTTCTACTGCTGGTCTAGCAGCAGCTATGGCCTGAGCAAATGAACCAAAGTGGTGTTTGATTGGCAGAGATGTTTATTCCTTTGGGATCCGTTTTTCTGTGAAACACTCCTTCTGATTATATGGTTTCACAAGCTCGCAGTAACAATACCAAATCAACATTAGCTTTGGAAGACCCTTCAGCTCCTACCACCTTTGGTGAAAAGTGGGCTTCCAAGAGGTTACAATCCAATTACATACCTAAGGAGAATTCTTGGAAACAACCTCTAAACATTTCAGAGTGGGACTCAGAAATATCAGCATGGCTTTCTAGTTGTTACGGAAAATATGGACGCTGTTTTCACTGACCCTGGAGTCCTTTGCAATCAGGAGCAGAAGTCGGGGAGTTGAGCTTTCTAAAAGAACTCTACAGATAAAAGACCTATTAATCAAAGAGCAAATATTATTATAACTTGTGCTTCAGCCTGGGCATATCAAATTAATGGGTTCCCCCATCACCACCCCCCACTTATATTTTTGTAACAGCATGCCTCTTTCTACCTGCTCTGTGCGGTTATTCTTTATATGGTAATGCATTTGACACGCTGGCCGAGAATCATGAGTTTTTCCAGGCATGCACATTTTTCTATCGCATGTTCCATTGGCTAAACACTATCTTCGCTGCATAACGTCACAGTAAGTGCATTGTCGGATCCCGTCCACCCTCCCTTTTCCCTTCCGTTAAAGGAATATAAGGTTGATTGTGAATTATATTCTGTGTAGTAGTTGTTCGAAATGCCTGGGATGGAGTGCCAAGTGTTTATGGCAGAGATCTTTACCCTGCAAACCAGCTGAATTCCTTTTTTCAAATTAGGGCCCTTGCCATGTGCCATGCTCATTGTTTTCACTGCTGCTGCTTCTGTAAAGCAGTTCTGGTGAAGGTATGTTAATCGCTGTATTTTCACATTTGCATTTTGCCCAGCTAGAGCTCCAGGTTCTGTGTATGAGGCTTTCCCCATTTACTGCTGCAAAAGTAATCCTGCAAGGTAGGTCAGAAGGAGAGTGTTATTGCCCATTTTACTCCATAGCTTGCGCCCAGATCTCCCTAACCTAAGCCCAGTATTCACACGGGATATATCTTCTCCGTGTTCATTTTTCTCATTCCATGCATCTCTACAACAAGTGAGATAAAATTGCAGGAATTTAAGCAGATTGCGGGAGTGCTGCTCTCTCAAATTTCTCATTGACTCAGGAGCAGATCCAAAGCTAACAGGATTTTTTTTTCCAAAATCCCCTTTGGGAATCAGGGTGTTTGGTTAGCTCATGATTAAACTGTTGGAAGAGCAGCCCTGTCTCAGATCAACCCAGAGTGGTCTCACCTTAACCAGGACCGGCTGACCGAGGCAAGGATGAATCTTCTTGCCAAGGCAACTGGCTCAGCTAGGCCACATCCCATCCAGCCACCCACCTAATGCCATTATCTCCCAGCATCCTCTCTCCATTTGTACCAGGTGATGACAACATTGCTCATCTTGGCCTACCTTGCCTGCTTATAGCTGCAATGGCATTCGAGGCCCCAAGGCATGTCTGTGGAATATCCAGTGTCTGGAGATTTTATGGCTGCTGTGACAATAATCGTTGGTCTCTCCAGAAGCTCTTTACAGTTTCTGTAGAAAGACGGGACATAAATTGTTGTGAGAAACAGACTGACAGAAAATGTTGGGATAATCTATATGGGATACAGGAAAGATTGTGTTAAAAGAGACATCGCTTTAAGACATGTTAGACTGCTAGACTCAACAAGAGGCAAGAAAAGCTAAAACAAAGTTCTCTCATGCAGGAAAAGTGTTCTCTTAAGATTCAAGCACAGGTATTCCACTGGGACAGCTCTGTTTCATCACTGCGACATTCTGCAAAATCGAGCCTTCCTTGAGCAAGGAACTCTTTGTTCTTCTTTGTGGCCTCTTTTTTCCATGATGATGATTATGATACGAAGCATGAGAAGACGAGGGCCACGTACAAGGAGCCGGTGCAGTGGTTTCTGCACAAGCCTGCATTGGCCCCCTTGGGCCCTGGAGCAGCACCACTCTAAAATATCCAGGAGGCTTCTCCTGTTCCTCTGGCAGTCTCGGGTGGAGTAGCTGTGTTGAGGTTCTTTGCATGCCGGAGGGTGCGGTGAGAAAAGACCAGAGATCCTTTGTGGCATCGTTAGACTGGTTCTGCTGATGTGGGTGGCATTTGTGGTATGCAATAAATCCACCAGCCTTGGGTTCCTGTCCAGCTTGGTTTTTCTCAGCAAAATTTGCTGTTGTTTTCTTTTCCACTTTGCCTCCTGGTACTGCAGTTTATTTTATGACTTCCATAAGCTTTAAATATTTTTGCTGCTCACTGACATGTTCTGCAGGAATCCATGTGATTAATAATCTTGGGAATGACATTTAGTGAAATAGCACTAAGCTCCATAAGAATACCCATTTTTCAAACACTAAATCTCTGATCCTCTAACCACCAACCTCTTGAATAGTTGGCAGTGGATATGACGAGGCTGCTCTGGAGTCGATGGTGGCTCGAGGACTGATGAGAGTTGATTAATGTGTTTGGAGGTTAATAAACTGCCTGGCAGGTTGAGTTGCTCAACATTATATCATAAACAGAGATGGAAATTACGGTTGAATCCATTGCAACAGCAAAAGTGTAAGGCTTTCATACAGTAGCTGATTAATTAAAGTATTCATATGAAATTGTGATCTGATTGTTTTTTGAGGGTAACAGCCAGAGGCTGTGCTGAGGTTCTTTGACTGGCTAGATGTAAACCAGACACCCAGCTTGTATTTGCATCTGTGTGTATTTTAAATCTGATGAAAAGCAGGAAATGGAAAACCTTGGCAATTCTCCCTGGTTTGACTTAGCAAAGCCTTTTGGCTTGGTGCATATTTGTGTTCTGTCGGCTGCAGGCAAGTTTAGGTTCATATGCGATCGAGGTTAGTTTATTCTTGGGCCATGTGAAGTGATGGATAAAATGAATTAAGAACATTTGTGTGGCTGGCTTCACAGGGAAGGAGGGTTGCCTCCAGCCTTCCTGAAAAGTTATACTCAGCTGGTGCAATTATATGTGGTGTGAAAGTGGGTGCCCAGCAGCCCCCCTCCCAGTCCTAAATGCATAGAGACTGGCTGGCTGTTTGGCTAATGGTAAACAGAAGAGGGTCCACACATGCTTGGATGCACTCTTGCACAAAACCAGGGGAGGACAGACTTCCCCACCCCAGTCCTGTTTGCAATTCATGTACTTGTGTCCCATTTGCAATCCTCAATATGAATGCAAATAGGAGTGGGGGTTTTTTTAACCAAAAATGTTAGAAAATTGCCGAATTTGTTCATAAATGCACTTTAGAATAGGTATTCTCTTAGTTTAGTCAATGGCAGAAAGTGCACAGTTTTGAAAAATACACAGAAAAATAAAAGGAAAAACAGGTTGAAAACAAAAATGGGAGCAAGCTGAAACATGCTCTGAATTATTTTGCAAGAATGTCAGCAAGCTTCAGAATCTGGTTCTTGCATACCTTTGCAAAACACCTTTTTGTTGTTCTGGGTGGAAACTGGCCTATGGGACAGAGGGTCTTAAGGCTCTCAATTTATTTGATTAATTCGTTAGATTGAGCACTGTAATCTTACACATGCTTCTTTGGGAATAAGTTCCACTGAACCCAGTGGGACTAAATTCAGGGTAGGCATGCACAGGATTGTACTGCTACAGGTGAATAAACACTGCACTAAAATGATGCCCTGATTAATATGGCAGGAGATTAAACAAAAGTATAGTACATTTTTTAAAAAAACTTATTTTCATGACAAGTCGGCTCAGAAACCATAAATGGCAAGCACCATCTTCAAATGAGTCAGTGAGTCATTTCCTCCTCTTCTTTCACATTAAGAGAAAGTAAGTGCCCCTCCTAAGATGACGCTTGCTGTACTTCTTTGTTTCAGAATTACATCTTGTCCTCATATGCACATATAATTGATTAATCAATCTATAAAATTTCGTATATGATTTATGGGCATAGATTCCTTAAACTGCATGACGGGCAGCCTTAGTTCTGTTAGAGAATACAGAAGAGGACTGGTAGACTTAGAAAAGGTTGCAGAAGAGGCCAAAAGGCTTTTTCTTCCGTACCTGAAGATACCCGTGGAATTGCCTTGGTGGAGTTTGCAGCAGTGAAGCATCCCAGGACTGGGCAAATGTCAAGCTTCCAAGTTTGTTTGTTTTTTTTTAAATCCATGGAACCATGAGATCCACCAGCTGAAGCCAAAGGTGTGCGGGTGCTATCCTGTACTGCCCATGCAGCGGTGGGACTTCCCACAAGTTGAGTGGGAGCTGAGCAGTTCCTGAAGCAGTTCAAAAAAGAGGAAGCATTTCTGGAAGGGTGTGAAGCCCCAGCAGGGCTTCCAGTCATCTTCCAGAAACTGGTGTTTCCGTTTGCTTCCAGGCTTACTTGTAGAACCGTGAATTCCCTCTTGAGCAAGCAGGGGGTCCTGTGAGCAGCAGAACTGACAGAGGCTGAGCAGCAGAATGGGAGTCTTAGAATTAAATAATTGCAAGCCCAGAAATGTGTTTTGAATACCAGAACTGAGCACAATCCTTCCACACAAACTCCCAAATCTAGTTACCCCAGCATTTCTTCCTGTCAGCATTAGAATTTAGGGCGGAGTGGAGGAGTCATTTTGCTGCTGCTGTTGTTACCAAACCAAGAATTTTAAAAAAATCTTTCCAATCCCTGCAATCATTCAGACCTCTGCAAGTACATCTTGATCTACTTTCTGCATATCTTTGCTATATACCGGCTTCCTTCCTGAGACCTTTCTCCTTGCCGGGTCTGTTTGCACTCTGTCTCCTCCTTTCTTCTCAGGTTATGTTCTGCTAGATGCTTTTGCCACATCCCTTTCCATGGGGTCTCTGCTGGGTAGTCACATCTGTCAAGCGGGCTTCTAAAAGAGGATGGTTAAGGTGGGGCGGAGTGGAGGGCAGAGAAAAGGCACAGTACGAGGCAACACCATTATGCCCCAGAGCCCAAGTGCTGAAAGGAGACTCTTGTTCTCCCAGTCAGGTGTCTTCTAGCTGAAAGGCCTTGACTGAGACTAAAGTTCTGGCAGCCATATGCAAAGGATGCCGTTGCTTCTGAGCTGCGCCCCCCTCCTTGCATGGCTCACGTACTCGTATGTTAAGGCATCACTTGCCAATGTGTAACTTTCATCACTTCCTCTGATTTAACACAACCATATTTATGTTCTGTCATTGTAGTGGAATGTCTATGCTAAGCGTTCTGTTTACATTGACATTGAGCATAATGTATGTGTCAGTTCTTCAGTTTGCGGATTTGGACGTGCTGATGATCTGGCACTGCGTGTGTATTTATGGGCACTGTCAGAGGAGAGGGACGTGAAGGGGTGTTTCCCAGATCATCCCTCAAATGCATTTGACCCTGCAGTCGCCGTGGCTGCCTCAACATGGGTGGTCTGGTGCTCATTGTTCCCCACGCCTGATGGGAAAAAGACGCTCGGATTTGGAAAAATGCTTTGGGTTGCCCTGGCATGTTGTCAAGGACAGGTTGCTGTTTACACTTAAGCGTCGTACTTCACTCACCCCATTCAGGTTTATTGCAGGCAGCTGCTGCCTCCAGGACAAAAAAACAAGGAAGCCCCTCTTGCTCCAAACTGGTAACCATTCCCCATGGGTGGCAATTAAGGTTTCAGCAGGTATAATCCACGCTTCTGCGAGGCACAGTGGGTTGCACCAGTGTTAACCAGCTTCTGTTGATAGGCAAAGATGTATTCATATGAATCCTATCAGAGCATGACCCGTGGTTCCTCTGCTTCTTTTCCTTCCCCAGGAAGATTTGCCGGCATTGTAAGTGTCCACAGGCGGAGCACTTTGAAAGGGTGATGCCTTTGGAAATGGAGAAGACCGTGACCAAGCTGATGTTTGACTTCCAGCGGAATTCGACTTCTGATGATGACTCAGGTTGTGCTTTGGAAGAATATGCTTGGATTCCTCCTGGGCTGAAACCAGAGCAGGTAGGCGGTTCATTGTCACTTCTGTGAACGCAACCAAGGCTAAAATCTAACCATTAAATGCTGCTAGGAATTCAAGCCCTTTCTTAAGCACGTGTAGCTCAGGTGAAGCAGTGCTGGGCTTTGGCCTAATGTGTTAAACATAGGGCAGTTATTTAGATGGAAGATGCATTTCTTCGTTAAACTCTGTTGGTTGCAGCCGAACCAATTTGCTCCAGGTCAACCAGGAAACATCAGAGGTCTGGCTGAGCTCCTTTCCGGGCCATCTAGGTCTGCAGAAGACGGACGAGTGAAGAGGGTGGAGATATTCCTCTCTTGTCAAGCTTACACATTCCCAGGGAGGCTTACTATGCCATCCTACCCAAATGTATCAGTAGAAGAGGTTCCTGAATAAATATTTCCCTGTTGAGTGGAAGATGGGAAAAGGAACAACAGTGCATAGGTGTTCCAGTCTGGAAGGGGTCCTGATTGCACATTTGCATACATGTCTCAGTTAATATGCAGGCATCGAGTGAGCAGTCTTAGCTCTTCTGCGTGGGGCAGTCAAAACTTCAAGCATTGGCCTCAGTGTACAAAAGGTTAACCGTCTGCAGCAGGTTGGGGCACGTATCTTTTCTCTTTACAGTTCGTGAAATGTTTTAGCACACCATCCCCTGGCCTTCCTAGGTCAGGAAATGTTACTCAACCAGAGAAACTCAAGCCCCACCTTCATTCTCTTCCTGCAGACTACATACTAATGGGCTGTAAAGATTTTGGAACCTTGTATTATGGTTATCCCAGACTGGATCTTGTACACCTGGAAGTGTCTCTGCCATTCTTAATGAATTTATGTAATTTGTGTGTGCCAGCTGGAGGCTGCAGCTTAAAGGCTTCGAGGAGCATATCTTCGTTTCCGTTTCCCCCTCAGAAGGTGATGCCCCATGGTGCTCTCACCACTCAGAGCCTCCAAACTGTCCCTCATGCTCCTCGGTTAAAACCACCTAAAACCACCGTGAGAAGAGCTTTTTGACAGGGAGAATGGAAGAAGAGAACACAAAGGGAATGGCAGCGTTCCTCTCTTTATTGTATCCTAGTGATTTGAAGACCCAAGACTTTGGCGTAGTCTGTGAATTGAAGGCATGAGAACAGCAAATGGAACTGCATTACCAGCTGCTTAGCAACATCTTCTCTCTGTGTAGGTGCTTAGCAACAGGTGATCTTTCATTCTTGGGTTGCAGGCACTAGATTCCCATGTGCTAACAGGAGCTATTTGGACAGATGCTTGCACAGAATTGGTGGCGTAGAGAATCAACACTCCATGCACAGTTCTGAAATCTGCAACTTCAAGAGGTAGAGAAGCCCCTTGTGCACAATGTAAAGAAGGCGTGTTGTTTCCAGGAGCCTCAACACCTGATCCTCCAAGGTCTTCAAGGAGCCATGCACAGAGAGGGAATTTTCCCTCTCCCGGTTGTTGGCGGTGCCAGCTAACATTAAAGCTGCTTTTGTCATGGCATGAAATTGGAAGCAGCTGTGGGTGTTGACCCAGCTCATCCCATAGTTGCCTAGAAAGCAGAACCCACAGATTTAGCTGGCCAGTCAAGAGTTCTCGCTCCATGCTCGCCCCACAGGTAGAGGGGGGAGCTGTGCGTGGGGGCCCCCGCCTCCTTTTTGCCACATGCACCATTCTCCACTCACTTCGCCCTCTCTCAGACCCCAACCTGCACAAGCGCCCAAAGAGAAAGCACAAAGCAGGGGGTGCTGCGGCTCCGTCTCTTCTCCCGTGCTGCTGCTTGCGCGCTTGGAGTAGGCAGGCACAGGCAGTGAAATCATGGAGGAGACACAGCAGAGCTATTCTTGCCATTGGCTTGCGCAAAGGGAAATGAGAGGGCCCTTTGGCAGTTCTGTTTCTTCACCCCCCCCTTTGCCTTTACACCTCCAGTCCAGCCTCTTCTCTTCCTTAGACCCCGGTGCTTCCTTCATGCATAGAACGCCATTCTCTGCAGTCTGCATTCTCCCTTTTTCTTCAGCCACCCCACCTCCTGGGCTCCCCACCCCACCCCTTCCCTGTCCCAGGGCCTGCTTCTCAACTTGTAGTCTCCCTGATTGCCTGATATGTATCCCTGAGTCTCTCTCTCTTTCCAGCACCACACAGTCCCTGTGACTTCTGGGCTCCCTGTGAAGATCTGCTCCAAAATCTGCCCCTCCTGGAGTCCCAGCTTGGCCCTCCCGGATGGGCAAAGCAGCTCTCCCTGGGTCTGGCACCTTTTCTCACCAACCACCAGTTGTCATTTCTTATCCTTTGTGTGGCTTCTTCTCATTGTGGAAGCTTGAAATGCATCTCCTAAGACTTAGTTATTGAAGGTATGTGCTTCAAGCTAAAATAGGTTGCCCTTCTGGCTCCTCCTCTTTTGCCTTTGGCCCCGCCTACCACTGGCACTTGGCGCCACACACTTCTCTGAAATGGAGGGAAATTCACCTCACCGCATCTCATCTCTCAATCGTGCCCTTCCATATTTCTGTGCTGACCCTTCCCCCTCATAGTTAGATTGTTCTTAGGGTAGCCAGGTGCCCTATTTTATAGAGGACAGTCCTTTATTTGAAGGGCAGCCAAAGGAGCATCTGTTTGGAAATCTCTCCTGTCCAATTCCAGTTGAATGAGAAAGGGCTGTAAGAGCCGCTGCCTGTCCCCAGTTGGCGCATAGAGAGCAGGCAAACCAGGTAGGCCAACGGGTCACTGGTCACAGCCCTCCACACCATGGTGAGCACTTACTGCGTGTCTACTTGATTGTAACAATTATTCCTAAATGTGAAGATAAATTAACATATGCATATTTTATGCAAATCGCCACCCTCTGCTGCACTGTATTTTGTTGATGCATGCCTGCTTTGGGGGATGATTCCTCACAACCATCCTGCTGCTCATGAATATCACATGGCCTCATGGCAGTCTAAACACCGCCTAAGGGAAAGTCATAGGCAGACTGCAACACATTTTAATCCTGGTTTAATTCCAGCTGCAGAAGTAGACAGGGAGAGTGATTTCACAGGTTATAAAGTCATAAGGGGTATGGCAGAATGTTGATTTCCTCCTAGAGGAAACTCTATGAACAGAACCAGCTGATGTAAATAAGTCTAGTTTGATGCTTCAGTGGAGCAGCATTGATTTATACCAGCTGAACATCTGGTTCATGATTCATAGCCAGGCACTATGGATCTCTGTGTTACACTGCTGTTAACATGTAAAGGTCCCTGGGAGCTCACGGAAAGGTATAGGTGAGATGCACATAGTGGGACAGTCAAGATCTGAGCTAAAGAAATCCTAGTTGCCCAACTTCTGCTTTCTTTCGCTTTTCTGTATTAAGCCCAAATGTGAATCACACGATACTGATTCAGTAAGTTCAAGCTGTGATAGGAACTGGTTCAGCCTAAACTTCAGCTCAGGAGAGCAGTCAGGCAGGGCACTCCCAGCTGTCCATAGGCCTTGGCAAAGCCAATGTTTTGAAGCATTTCAGGGTGCGGATGAAGCATGGCAGCATTAAGGATGGCACAGGAGGAGCTCCAGGACACGCCAAAGGTGTGCCGCTGAGGCACGGGCACCACAAGTGGCTCGGTGGCAATTCAGAGGGGGGCAACACAGCAGATTCCCGGTATCAGCCACTGAAGAGAACAGCAGCCGTGTTTTCCCCACTCGCCTTCTTACTTCAGCTGGAGCCAGAGGGGAAGACGAGCATAGCAACCAGCCTCCGCAAGACAGTCTCTCTGACTCTGTCAGCACAGGCGGAAGGTCCGTCTTGGATACAGGGAAGCTTGTGGCAGAGACAATAATCTCACTGTAAAGCATAATTCTGTCTTCCCATTTCCATACTGAAATCACACGTATGTGCTATTCTCTGATTTTGGGTTTTCTACTGCAGTGTTGTCAGTCTGAAGCTCTGCATGCAATTTGCCGGGCACGCGTCTGATCTCTGACCCTCAAGAGGTGGCACTGCAGAGGTCCCAGGCTGACACCTTCCCTCCTCGTTCTGCAGCTGTTCCCACCCCGGGGTTTCACAAAAACTAGTAGGGGTTCTGTGAAAAATCTCAAACATCAAATTTAAAATGGATTTTAAACTGAAAGCATCCAAGCAGCAAACAAGGAAATGCATCATGTCATTTGGTTCCTAGGAGTCTATCGTGCAGTGTTGGAAAGAATCAAAAGAATTATTTTGGGATATAATTATTTTATTTTATTTATTGCATTGGTATGGCACCCCATAGCCAGAAGGCTCTCTGGGTGGCTCATGGAGCGATCATAAACAATAATACAGGTGAAAATAGAAAATGCAGATAATAATAAATGGCAATAATAACTAAAACCATGAAACAGAGTATGTAATTGCTTAATTCATTCTTTCGATTTAAAATGTTTCCTCTTTCTTTCCAAACCCGCTATGTTATGCAAAGCACTCAGGCAATAGGAGCAGATGAAAGAAGGAAGAACATTGTGGGTTCATAATGCATAGTAAGAATCAGGGATAAAGTTAGGGAAAAAATGTCTTCAGAAAGGGTCCATGGCCAAAAGGGTTTGCGAACTGCTGCTATAGAGCTACGCCTTGTGAAGCAGGCCTGACTGGCACACCCAAGACTGGCAGAGTGCTTCCCGAGGAAGCCTTCATTTTGCTATCATCCTGCTTCGTTCATGGAAGTTTCCCTGGGACTCAGGTGTCATCAGAACAGAAGAGGAGCTGTGCTGAGTGAGACCAGGGTTCTGTCTAATCCAGCTTTCTCTTCACACGGTAGCCAATCGGCGGTCTGTGGGAAATACCTAAGTACAGCATGAATGCAACAGCCCCCTCCTGCCCCTGTTTCCCAGTGTGCTGCTTCTGATCCTGGAGACATCACAGAGCCATCAGGACTAGTATCCTCCATGAATCTGTCTCATTTTCTTTTAAAGCAGTCCAGATTGGTGACCAGCACTACGTTTTACACCGTGCTGAGAGTGTTGTGCTAATTGAACAGTATAGAAATGCCTTAAATGAATGAAT